AATCGTAGCCTGGCATTGTATTTGATTTTATATCTGTATCTTATACCGATTTAAAATTTTGAAAGTTTAGATTCAAAATCCAACAAAGAGTACTTCGGTAGAATAAAGAAAATATTATTTCTTTTTTATTTAGTTATTATAGATCCAACATGTGGGAATGAAAACATCGAATTGGATCAGACATATATGAAACAACGACTTCGATCATACGGCTACCCAGACCTACACGCAAACATCAGTTGCACATGGTTGATAACTTCGCCTCAATACACTACAATACACGTAGAATTTACAGACTTTGGTACCATGACAGAATCAGAGTACATACGCATTGGAAATGGCTTGAATAGTACCGACATGGAAAGCGTACTTTTTGAATACAGCGGAAACCAGATTCCCTCGGGTATCTTTAAATCTACCGAGAATACACTTTGGATCCAGTTCGTTGGAAGTATTGGTTCGAGAGGATTTAGTTTATATATCGAATACCGTGAGTATAGCTCTGTATTTTAAATAAAATATTAACCTATTAATACTTTTCCTATTGTTTATTATTGATTAGTTTATATCATCCTCATTATCATCATCATTTATATAATTATTATCATAGTTATCTTTAACATTACCATCATCATCATTATTATCATCATCATCATCATCGCCATCATCCTCACCATCATCATCATTATTGTTGCTGTTATTATTATTATGTCTACAGCCATGTTATAGAATATAGACCTATTTTGATTTACATTAATTTGCAAAGCATCACTTTAATAGAGGCTACAAAAACAAACTGTGATGTTATGATGACTAAATACTGTCCATAATGTACCACCGAACATTCCATATATTTCACAAGTTTTTAATTTTTTGCAACGAAAATAGATATAGACTGTGGTGGAGACGTTGTCTTAAGTGCAATACATGAACCAGAAGTTATAACGTCACTGGGATACCCACATGGCCTCAACGTACCATTCCACTGTTTGTGGTTGGTAGTATCTCCCAGTGAGACTAAAATGGTGGTCACAATTCATGATTTCGATATAATTTTCCCAACGGATTGGGTTCGAATTGGTAAGGGGCTCAACGAATCATATTCAAATTCGATCATATTTGAGCACAGTGGTCAAGGTGTTGAAACTACGAAGTTTATTTCTTCATCTAATGAATTGTGGATATCATACAATTCCCGTGATGGAACAACCCAGAGGGGCTTCAACGTTACTATCAGCTATGGCCCTTTATACGGTAAATTTGTTTTCTTTCACATCTTTTAAAGAATTAGCAAATTCACCCTCTGTAAAATAGAAGAAAACTACAAGAGGATTTAAACGTTAATTCTCAATATCAAGTGTAATGTTGTTAATAATTAGCAGATGATGTGCCACCATCAACCTCTCACAGAGACCGGAAAACTCTCGCTGTACGTCGCAGTGTGTTCTTGGCTTTAGTCCTATTTCTTATATGAAGATACATTTAACATGATTCGTAAACCTAGTTTAGTGTAGAACTTTTCTTCAATTTTAAGAATGTGGAACTACTTCTCATGTATCACTGAGTGGAGCAGAGTATTCAAACACACGCTGGCCTTGGTTGGTATCACTGGTTGCTGATGAAGATGTAATACACAATTTTTCCTGTAACGCCATAATCGTTGGTAAACGCTGGTTACTCACAACTGCTAAATGTCTTATTAACTTGTAAGTATATAATAAAAAGTTTTTGTATATCTTAATAAATTTTAGACTTATTTATAAAAAGTATTTATTCGGAGATCCTGTCTTGTAAAGAAGAGGGCGTATACCCATTAGACCACAGAGACATACAGGATATCGTGCATCTAATCCGCCAGGCACTTTCTCTCATAACTGACTGAATCGCAAAGAGTGTACGCGGCGGATACCGTACCCTACGCGGCGCTATTTACACGATCTTTTGTTACTTTTTTCGCCAGTGACGTCACGGTAAAATCGTATATAATGGCCTATAACTTCATAAAAACTTAACAAAAAATGATTTTAAGGTTGATTCTATTATTAATGGCATATCAAAAATCCCCTCTAGAAAAAAAATAATAATTTTGCTAGTTCCTTTTAAACTCGGAAATGTTATAGGTGGCAGCTGGGAAATCATATATTCAAATTAATTTGCAAGCGTAGCACCGTAAACAATGTACAGTAAACAGATAGATAAACAATAATAGCGCAGTGCTCAAATAGGAACATGTTGTAATAGTCGTATCGAGCATGGCTCATCGACGACAAGTTCCTTTATTTCAGTTATATGTATAAAAAAAAATGTCCCTGGCGTGATTTGAACCTGCAACATCAAGGAGAGTTTCATACCCATCAGACCATGGAGACCTATTGGATATAGGAGTTAGAGCTTCGCCTATCCTATAGATCTACTTGCCTTGATAGCGAGATGTTTCATGTTCAACTTTTCGTTCATGAGCTATGCTTGATACAATTATTACAAGATGTTTCTATTCGAGCACTGTTAGATGATGATAATGATGATGATGTCGATGCCATAAAGTAAACCCATTAAGATTGCAAATGTCAAATACATAAGCATATACATTTTACGAATGTAATCTTAAAAATTGTACTTGGTAACTTACCTGTTTTCCAGTTCGTCCGAGAAATTCCTCATGGCGAGAGTAAATGGCAGTACTAATAGTATCCTACTTGAAGTAGATGACTTTCTTATACATCCGGGTTTTAATTCTACCTATAATACTGATCTAGCAGTTGTCCGTTTATCAACAAACATCTCATTCTCTGAACATGTTCGACACATCTGCTTCCCGATGACACACACGCCATACGAAAGATGTTTTATAATTGGCTTGGAAATGACAAACCCCATTGGTACGTTATTCCTATAGTTGTTTTGATTAAGAAAAGAATATTATTTAGTTTATAAATGTTAATGTATTTATATATACATCTTTAATACAAAAGCTAACAATTTTGATCTTCTATGAAATGCTACAGAATTGTCATGATCTGAACAAAAATAGATAGTGTTATATTTTTATTTTTATTTTATATATAATATGGGCAATTAAAATGTGAAATATTATATTTCAACTATTTTTAGTCATACTTAAATTTAATATTATGTAAGTGTATGACCTAAAATCGTTTTTATTTCCATCAAAAATGGCTATCATATTGATCTATTTATTTAAAACAGAAATTGACCAAGAAATGTTAGAAAATGTTGAAAACTGTATGGGTGTCGATCCCAATGAGTTCTGTGTTGCATTACCTGACGACGTTGAATCAAATGTGCAGGTAAGATATTGTTTGTGTATATTTTACGTATTTAGAATGTTAAAATTCAAAATGTTAAAATAACTCTTGCGAGCAAGTATAAAGGATTAAAAAGTAATATTAATGAATGTTACTTTATTACACAGGAAGCTCAACAAACGCAGTTGATTTGTACTAATTCGGATGGATATTGGGATAGCGTCGGCATTGCAGGCAACGTGTCTTTATCTTCACTAATGAATGAACATATCTTAACGTACACGAACATATCAACATTTGTAGGGTGGATACAAGATGCTATAGCCAATTGGGATCAATACGACACAATAAGTAAGATTAATTAATATCATATAAAAATTATTTTATACTCTAAGTTGAATGGCAGAGATAGCTGGCAAAACTGCGATTTTTAACTAAATGTGTGTATTTGTTTTGGCTCAGCGAATTTCTAGGGGAAACGTCGGGGAGGGGAGGGGAAAGCTTTTTTCGGGTGGTGGAGGGGGTTGGTGTACGCCTCTCCGCGCTCCCCAAGTTGTACTACTTCCTAATTCTCTCTCTTCCTTCTATAGAGGTGTGGTTTTCGCTTACTCTGCCTCTTTTGAGATTTCATTACAAAATGTGGTTTTCCTCGCAAAGCCGAGGCTCGTGTGATTGTGAGTTTCCTATGCGGCCTTAGGTGGTCTACGTTAAGTCCTCTCATGACTAACGTTGCCCGTCTTAAACTGAGGTGGTGGACCTCCCTGTCATTCATTTGACTCTATTTCTAC